AAAATTTGATTTTGCGAAATTTTATTTGTGATAAGATCTTTAAACTACAAAATAAATAGCAGCACACACAATGTAAGAATTAATAAACAAAAAACTCGTTCAAAATATTAAACAAAACGTCCTTCGTCCCTAAAGTACAGTTCAACGAATCCAACTTCTTCGAAGAACTACAAAATTTGTGGACTTTATTTTTTTATAAGAACCCCTATAAGTGAAATAAAGATGTGTGGACTGCTAAGTAGGGTAAAGAAGTATGCTGTACGTCGGTTCAAGTTATTTTTTTCCACAGCGTAATTTTGTGATTACATCAAGTTTTTAGCAACCACGTGTATATCTATTTTGGTAAACACAGTATAATACTAATAATAACAGTACTGTACTCTCAAATTTTCAAAAAAATGTGTATGACCAATTCTGAATTAAAATTATCAAACTTTCTATAATAAAATTAAAATTACGGCTTTAGTCACTTATAAAGTATGCTGTCTAAAATTTATAAAGTACATTGTTAAGAATTTACAAATTACGCCGTGCAACTTTTATATACAGTACGGCGTCGAAATTTACAAAGCACGAAGTCTGTCGTTCATAAAGTACGTTTTTCGTTGTTTGTGAGTACGCGGTCAACATTTATAAAGAAGACATTGGACCACTTCCTGGACTCGTATGATTTTCGCAAATGGTAACTTGTTATGTACACACCGCAAGCATTGCTGAAAAGAATCTGACCACTCGTTGTATTGTATACGACAATACATATTGCATTCTATTTTATAAAAATGTAGACCATCAATGGAAAAAAAACGTCTTCTCAGTCTCTCATGCTTAACTTCGACTGTTTATGTGTACACTTCGAAAGAATTCAACTTATCACGTTCAGATTGCAAGCATCTGTGATGGCATTTGTGTTAAAAAAAAGAAATTTGTTTGATTTTTATCTCCTCAACGCAGAGAAGAGCACTAATTAATTAATTAAACACACTCGGTTTTTTCCCATTAAACGTCATCAAACCTGTGGAGAGGTTAAAGATAAATTTTGATTAGCGATTTATCATGCTTATCATACTCCTAAAATGTTTTTAAGATTTCAGAGCGTTCTATTTTGCAGTTTCCAAGTTAAATTGTAAAATGTTGTCAATCAATATGAGTTCTTTTTCCCAAATGTCTAAGGTAAAAAAATGGTCCAAGATTACTTCGACAGAACTTCCCTCGCCCTTGAAGTGCAGTCCACCAAATTCCGCTTCTTTGAAAAATTATAAAAAATTGTGTTTTCTGGTAACCTTTATACACATTTTCTAGAAAATGAGGTTCTCAATTTGATCCGACAAATCCAGCTCTTTAAAAAATATATAAAATTTGATTTTACGATTTTCGTTTTGTGATAACCGCTGTAAAGTAAAATACAGCGCCGTACAGACAATGTAAAATATATTTTTTGCACTCATGACCTTTTTTGATAGCTTTCGCGCATTCACCAGAGTGCGGGAGGTCGAACTTCCCGCACACGTGCATTTAACTTCCCGTTGCCATGGTAACCTTAAAATACTCGGGTAGTGTCAACATTGTGACGTGTTGACGGCGCTGTCAATGGCGTTGTTTATAAATAACTCACAGTTAATCTCTTCAGTTTAAAGGTTTATTCGTTGCAAAAAATATTGTACACAACACGTTCGTGAGCCTGCTTCCCGCATTCACGCAAATGCGGCACTCCCTTCGGTCGTGCCTCAAACAAGCGTTCATGCGGGAAGCAGGCTATCCCGAACTAGTTGCGTAAATTACTATTTCCCCTCCTAACATGTAAACAAAACATTCACACACGTTTGACATGCCGCGTAACAGTGACTTTACGCACCAAATATCAATTTACCGTCGCTTTACCGCCTTTGGGTGCCAAAGTAACTCAATATGCATTAGCCTGTAGAAGCTCTAATAAAAAAAGTTCTGTATAAATAATAAAAGAAAACATACTAGAACACTACTTTACATCATGTTTTGTTCAATGAAAACTTTTGAATTAGAAAAAATGAATTATTTAAAAAAAAATCACATGGCGCCATCTCGTGGCTGTCGGTATTGTAGATTCCTTTAGTAAACGTCAAGTCCCGAAACTGTCACTTCATTTCTTGTCATTTCGGAAAATATTTTTAAAAACTCAATGTCGGGGAAAAAATTGAATACAATTTTCGTGCGTTAGGCATTTTGCAGGTTTCGGTCCCATGCCACCCTCCGCTTCGCGTCGGGTGGCAAATTAGGACCTCAACCTGCAAAATGTTACCTACCGCACTCATAATGTAAATAACTATTAAAGTACGTATCTAACGGGATGTCCTTCAGAACTAGGTAATAGCAATTTATGTTTATACCGCGGAAGAATGTCATGTAGAAATTAGTTTGATTTGAATGAGGTTGTCTTCTCAAAACAGAGGATAAAAATTTTTAATTAAAGCACAATCGAACAAAACGTTCTAAATATTATAGCTCTTATTTTATCATTATTACATAGATTGGGGTGACTCGTTCTTAATTTGGCTAATAAAAAATTTGTGATGACGTCATCAAAATGAATAATACTAATCACAGCACAAAAAAAGTAGTTACGGCGTATTACAAATGCAAGAAAAAATAGACGGCCAAGTTGGCATCAAACCCACAATCGAAGGATCGTAGGTCGCCGCTCTCCCCGATAAGCCATTACACCACAGAAACTTTTTGGGAATTTAACCTTCTAAACGTTTTTGCGAAAATTTGAATTGATTCATTAAAATGACGTCATCAAATTATTGGTGGGGATGATTAGCCAAATTTTGGTTTGTGAGTTTTTAACCTTCTGCATGATATTTCTAACATACATATAAAATCTGGGAAGACGGCAGACAGACTGAACCAGGAGACCTAATTTTTCATACTCTATGGGTCATGAAATGTCGAGAAAACATCAAAGTAGGCAGTTTCCCCGCGATAACTATTATATAAAATTGGTATCAAATAACTATAATGCCAACATCAGATTAAATATTATTAGGACTCTACACATAACAAATTTTTTAATTTCATAACTTAAAAATCTGCGTATTATTTATAATTCGATAAAATTAAGACCCACCACTGACCCGGAAATGACCGGCATTCAGGCAAGACTTCTATCATTACGGGTACTAAGACCAAGTAATGATATGAATTGATTAGATTAACAGAACAACTTTCGAGATTCTAGAATTACAGCATACAAATTAGTCTGCTATTATTCTCTAATCTCACCCCATCCCCAAAAGTCCAGCGTAACTACCGACCATTTATCCGCGCATCACATGAAAAGTGGCCTACACTAATCTGACCTACTGGTGCTAATCTAATCTGACTGACATGATCAGACTGTTCAAGAAACTTACGAACAATATGACATGTTCCTAACAAAACAGCTTTTTGAATTTTGACAATTATTGAATCATTCAAATGCAAAGACTTTAAATTCTCAACTAAGCTATTTGGAACTACACCTACATTAGAGATAACTAGGGGTAGAATTGAAATTTTTTTAAGATTCAACATGGATTTCATTTCTATCGATAATTGTAGATATTTTGAAATCTTGGTGTCGTATGTTTGAATAATGTTGTTTGTGTTAGGAATAGCAATGTCAATAAGAATGGCTTCGTTCGTGTGTTTTTTGATAAGTATGATGTCTGGTCTGTTAGCTGTAATGTTTAAGTCTGTAAGTATTGTGCGATCCCAGTATAATTTGTATTTGTTATTTTCAAGGAATGGAGACGGAATATAAGTGTAATAGGGTGTCGTATCTTCGATTAAGTTCATAAGTGTTGCTAATTCTTTGTGAATGATTTTGGCTGCGTTGTCGTGTCTAGCTTTGTAATCAGTTTGTGCTAGGATGCTGCAAGAAGAGATTATGTGCTGGATCGTTTCAGGTTTTGCTTTGATATTATTATTATTATTATTATTAATATTAATATTGCAAGTGTTATTAAATCCTGCATAGTATTTATATATAAACCCATTTCAATTATTTAGGCTGAGAATAATACATAACATTTTAACATTTAAGTACTTTCTTTCCAGCACATAAACTAAAAAAAATTGAAGCAGCCCTCGAGCAGCGTTTTGTTCTATTTGTTTCCAATTCATTAAAAGAATCTCGCTTCAATACAATCTTCCCCTAAATGCAAAAAGCGGAAATGAAAATAATATTTACCGAACAGTGGGCACGTTTCTTATTAGAAAAGCAACAAAAAGTATAAGAGAACGGTTGATTTGAAAATTCCTTAAATTTTATTTTGAGCTTTCCGGCTGGAGTTTGGCGCCAAGAGTGGAAACTAATGACACAGAAAATGGAATCACTTTCGAATCCATTTGTTTCAGGGCGGATATGGTGGGCCAATTGCAGGTCTTGCTGCAAATTAAACTCTACCGGGTAATGATGTCACGTGTTCAAAATGATGCCTGCAACCTCCATCAAATCGTACTTTTTATAGCACTTTTCGAACAAAACTCCCTTAATGTAAATTCGAGAAGGGTAAGTTCTCAGTTCACTGATTTCTTTTTCAATAATTAATTTTAGATTTTACGAAGTATACCTACCGTATGCAGATACCAGTATGGCCACAGTTGTCAAGTCAAGCTTTAAGAAACTGTTTTTAATGCTTCTATTCATAAAACGCCGTTAAATAGAAAGTTTGGCCATTTGAAGAAGATTATCTGTATTTCTAGAGTAAGTAGGTCCTTCAGACACAATACTTACAATAATCCCTTTTAATTACCATTCAGTCTACTGGGACCCAATAACTTATTCTCTCGTTTGTGACTTTTCTTTTACCTGCATTCGTTGTCGCTTGGTAGTCAAGCATCAGCACCACGAGCGAACAAAATGTAGTCGTTGCATTTCTTTTTTTTTTTTGCTAGTATTGTGTTATTCTGTTTTAAGTTTTGTATTTCGACCAAGATGATGTAGTTAGTGACGAGCTACACTGGGAGTGTGTACCTCTACATCAATGTGCGGATAATGATGAAGCTGCCAATGGTCAGGGAGCATTGGATATCCGGTAAGTAAAAGAGATAAATTGTGCTGCAAAACAGACAGATAGGTGACAAATAACGTTTGTCGTAAAACCGCATGCACATAGCGGTTAGAATTCGGGAGACACAAAATAAATTATGGCCTGCATAGCTGTGAAACCGTCAATTTAATTTTCTTAGCATATCGATTAGCTGCGGACGAGGTTTTAGTTTCCGTTCAGTTGCATAAAATTTCGGTAGAAATGAAGTAATGAATATTCATATAACAGTTAGTGTAAATTTGCTATAACACAACGCTTAAAAATGTGTAAAAGGTGAAAAATACTGTCGTGGCAAATTCAAAAGTGCATACAAAAATATAATTAATCACAAAATTTGTAATTTACATAACCTTCATAATGATCAAAGTCCTTGGTAATAGTTATTTTTATCTACAACATGAATACAACCATAGTTACATTGCTAAAATCAGTATTTAAGACAAAACTTGAAAGTTGAAATAGATTATAAAATATGAACCGATAAATACCAGAAAAAAAATTAAAATTCAAGAAACAATCGATTTAAATGAAAATGTAACAACCTAAAAATCGCATAACATGACTGGATGCGGAATGATACGAGATTTCCCAATTCGCCCGCTGACTCTTGAGTTTTTTTGAGCGATTTTTACTTCCCGAGCGTAAGCAAAGGAAGTATTGTAATCGAGTCCGTCGGCTGACTCTCTACTTTTACGTTTTCTCGATCTTTCATGACCCCTAGAAGACGAAGAAATAGGTCTCCCATTTCCGTCTGTCTGTCCGTCTGTCCGTCTGTCCGTCTGTCCGTCTGTCCGTCTGTCCGTCCGTCTGTCCGTCTGTCCGTCTGTCCGTCCGTCTGTCCGTCTGTCCGTCTGTTGTCCCGGATTTTTATTAGACAGATAATCTCCGAAAGTACTCGACCGATTGTTGTGAAATTTTGTACTTATATTAAGAATATCATGTAGATGGTAAAGCGCTAACCAAAATTTGTCTAATCATCCCCACCACTAATGCGATGACGTCACTTCAAAATTGTACATAGTAAATGGGTTTTCAATTGTATAAAATAACATAGTCCTACACATGTAGTTTACAACTCTGAATCGACTTTTCACCCGAAACGTCCAGATTTTTGAAAAAAAAATCAAAATTATAAAACAACATTTTGAAATTTAATTTTTAATCTGCTAACCAGAATGCTTTGAAATGTTGCAGATGTTTTAAGGCTATAAAGAGCATCATAAATCTTTAGTCAAAAAATATTTGCTTATCCCCTCCAAAAACTTGATGACGTCAGCTCAAAAGTTTGTGGAATAAATCATATCTAAAATGTACAAAATATGATGAGTCTGTACTTGTGATCTATCACTCCATTCATATTTTTTGGATTTGCATATACAGGGTGACTCAAAAAAATTAATGAATGCGTAAATATATTTTATTGATTTAATCAGGAACTACAAAACCGAATACTCTGAAATCTTGCAGATGTTTTAAGATCATAAAGAGCATAATAAATGTTTAGTCAAAATATATTTGCTTATCCCCTCCAAAAAATTGATGACGTCAGCTCGAAAGTTTGCCGAATAAATCCTATCTAAACTGTAAAAATATGATGAGTCTGTACTTGTAATTTACCACTCCATTCATATTTTTTGGATTTGCATATACAGGGTGACTCAAAAAAATTAATGAATGCGTAAATATATTTTATTGATTTAATCAGGAACTACAAAACGGAATGCTCTGACATCTTGCAGATGTTTTAAGGTTATAAAGAGCATAATAAATGTTTAGTCAAAATATATTTGCTTATCCCCTCCAAAAACTTGATGACGTCAGCTCGAAAATTTGCCGAATAAATCATATCTAAAATGTACAAAATATGATCAGTCTGTACTTGTGATCTATCACTCCATTCATATTTTTTGGATTTGCATATACAGGGTGATTCAAGAAAATAAATGAAAGCGTAAATTTATTTTACTGATTTACTCAGGAACTACAAAACCGAATGCTTCGAAATCTTGAAGATATTTTAAAATTATCATAAGCATGGTAAATTTTTGATCAAAACGCATTTGGTCGTCCCCCCTAAAAAATTTATGATGTCACCACAAAATTTTGCTGAAAAAATCCTATCTAAAATGTACAAAATATGATCAGTCTGTACTTGTGATCTATCACTCCATTCATATTTTTTGGATTTGCATATACAGGGTGATTCAAGAAAATAAATGAAAGCGTAAATTTATTTTACTGATTTACTCAGGAACTACAAAACCGAATGCTTCGAAATCTTGAAGATATTTTAAAATTATCATAAGCATGGTAAATTTTTGATCAAAACGCATTTGGTCGTCCCCCCTAAAAAATTTATGATGTCACCACAAAATTTTGCTGAAAAAATCCTATCTAAAATGTACAAAATATGGTGAGTCTCTTCTTGTGATTTATCATTCCATTCAAATTTTTTCGATTTGCATATACAGGGTGACTCAAAAAAATTAATGAATGCGTAAATTTATTTTATTGATTTAATCAGGAACTACAAAACCGAATGCTTTGAAATCTTGCAGATGTTTTAAGGTTATAAAGAGCATAATAAATTTTTAGTCAAAATATATTTGGTTATCTTCTACAAAAAACTGATGACGTCAGCTCAAAAGTTTGCCGAATAAATCGTATCTAAAATGTACAAAATATGATGAGTCTGTACTTGTGATTTATCATTCCAATCATATTTTTGGATTTGCATATGCAGGGTGACTCAAAAAAATTAATGAAGGCGTGAATTTATTTTATCGATTTAATCAGGAATTAGAAAACCGAATGCTTTGAAATCTTGGGAATATTTTGAAGTTATTATAAGCATGGTAAACTTTTGTTCAAAATGTATTTGTTCATCCCTCCTAAAAAAAATGATGACGTCACCCTTAAATTTTGCTGAATAAATCCTATCTAAAATGCAAAAAATATGATGAGTTTGTACTTGTGATTTATCATTCCATTCATATTTTTTAGATTTTCTTAAGAGGTGGTTCAAAAAAAATTAATGAAGTCAATTTATTTTATTGATTAAATTAAAGGCAACACTTATTATTAGTATTACACCCCAACCAACCCAATTTGGTAGACACAAAATTTGTTAAAGGAAAAACTCGGTTGAAACATAAGGGTAGCACGCTTATTTACATCGACTTTAACATTACAGACCTGCATTTGTTTTATGCGCTCACTTGGTTCCGCGAATGTGAAATAGACATGTTTATAATCAACCAATTCTGAATTTCACCGTCAAGAATTAAAATAAAACCCAATGTTTTATATAATAAGCGGAAGTCGAAGCAATAAAACCGATGGTCGTTTTGTTTACAGTTTCTCTGTTTGGCTCTCACGTATGCTGTTACGCTTGTCATCTTAAATTAAGAATGTTTATACATAAACGATTTTCAGTTGCCGTATACGTGAATAAATTGTTTCGTTATTTTATTGATTAAAAAAAATCAATATTCAAAACGACCCAATTCATTTTCCCGAAAATTTGGGAATACAATAATTTTATTCTTAGTATTACACTACATCTATCCCAACTGATATCCGTGTCCTTGCAAAAATGTTGATGACGTCATCGCAATTTTAAATTCCCACTACAAAAATGTAATGAGAAAAAAACACAATAGCCATGCAGTCGTCAAGTTTCCGACAGCGAGGGAAGTACTGTCTAAACTCTTTAGACCAATTTTTATTTATTACAATTTCGCTGTAAATCGATGTTGTGTTGAATACTCATATTTTTAAAATTTCATTTTTTTGCATGTCTTATCATATTATATTTTAAAATCTACTTTAAATTTTACCACAGTTTTGTAACCTTAGTACCCGTAAACAGTACTGTTTGCTGTGACTGCATTCATGTCTTTAATTTAAAGAAGATCTATCTTTGTTATCTGTACGACACATGTTCCAAAATTGTCCCTAAAATTTTTTTTTATTATTGAGGATTTTGAAACGAACCTGTGACAAACTAAATAAATAAACTAAAATTATTTTTGAAAAATGAAGATAATAATCATTAACAATTCTACCGATTAAGTTTATTTAAAATCAAATCGTGTCTCAAACAATGCATGTCATAGAACTCAACAATAAAAATAATAATAATATCTCACTTAATGTACTGTATCCGAGACATCGCCCAAAAATTTTTACCTCAAAGACAAAAATCATTGTTAAATAATGTTCTTCATTATAAAAGTTATTTTAGATCAACTCTACAACTTTCCCGCAAATCAAGTTTTCAATGATAGAAAGAAACGTCGTATTTCAATACATCTTTTGTGCAGCTAACAAAAACATATTTTTTGGAAGAAATTTAAAGACATACTGGACAGCAGAAGTTACATTGTTTTGAGTAGTTTTTGAAATATGACATGATAAAGAACAGAAAAACGCAATTTTAAAATTCTAAAAAAATCAAGTAAGAGTTTTAATATGAATAAATACAAAATGACAAAAAAATTACGATAAATTATGTAGGATTCAGAATTCCGTAGAATCTTGATAACTAACAACACTACCCCGGACTCTCGCATATACATATTTAAAATTCATTGCCTACGCTGCCAACACAAAGTGGAACGGACAATAGATTAACTTGAAAATGCAAATTTGGTCTGTATTTACAATGTAACTATTTGTCTATACTGTTTTGTCTTTAACTCAATTTTTTTGTCCTACAAGGAAACGTCACTTTCATTTCCTGATGATGACGTCATTACCATGTTAGCAAAAACACTTCAATCAATTTGAATAGGTGCCTTGTAATACTAATAATAACAGTACTGCATACTCAAATTTTCGGAAAAATGAGCCGTTCTTGATTTGATAAATAAAATAGATTTCCTCATTCATTAATTTTTTTAGTCAGCCTGTGTAAGTAATTCTATAAAATAGGACTCCACTGACAAGCCGTAAGTATTGACTCATAATATTTTGCATATTTT